TGAAAATTTTCTCTGATCTTCAAACGCCTGCACATCATGTAGCATGGACTTCAGAGCACAAGGCAACCGTGAGGCAAAAACTACAACACAGCACAAAAGGAAATTGAGTAAAACTTCCATGCATGCAAAATGGTTTCACCATGTAAAACAGGTCAAGGGTGTATGAGAAATTTCAATCACCCCGCCAAAATTCTCCTACATCACGAGGACGAATTTTCCATTGAAATGGACACTCAAAGACTGTACTATGCCTCACACAAGCTGCCAAACGTGCTACAGTCCACAACTACACAACGATGCGCAGCACACGAAGGTCATTAGTCACGATGAGCGCGCTGCAAGATGCAGTCCGGGCTCTGGTCGCATGATCAGAGTATTATCTGACCATTCAACTTGTTTGTCTGTACAACTACAGTATGCTGTCCTACGGCTGCTTCACCGAGGGAAGCGGACCCCGCAAGTTCAAGAAGTCATCATGAGCATTATTCAAGAACGACAAGCGGTCGTGGTTATGTCGTTGCATCAAGTTGGTTTCCAAGTAGATGCGAAAGCATTCATCAAGAATGCAACTGTGCACGCAGGTCCCTAAGAGCTGCGATATCGGGATGGCCAAAATGGCCTGTGTTTCGGATCTACAATTCATTGCTGCCTCAAAGCTCTCATCAAGATTGCTTGCACAAGAAACATAGCACTCATGAAGCATCAAGTGGCTAAGGGCACACACCAATCACAAGTAGGCCTTTGCGCAAATGCGGCATGCGGTGTAGCCGCGAGTTCGGGCTTCAGCAAGGCCAATGCGATCGATGTTGTCTGCACCATTCAGTCCGCTGCATCCACGCTTCAAGTGAAAGCACTTTCCCCTGCGGAACGTCACATACACTGACACTTCATTCGGCTGATGAAATGCCCCATGCTTTGCTTTCGCCCTCGGCTTGGGCTTTGGCGGTGACGTCACATCAAGAGATGCTGGCTTCACATGTCCATCGGTACTGGATGCTGGCACTTGCGCTGCACTGCTGCTTGAAGACGAATGTGCATATGGCTTATAGGTACTGCTGTCACCTGGCGTTGGGCTCGCTGGCATTGCACTGCTCTCAGATGGCTCGCCGGGGCCATCGCCATCATCATCATGAACATCAGAACAAGGCTCACTTCCTGCACTCTTGTTTCCACTTTCCAAGGTCACCTCAAGCTTATGCACTCGGCTGCACAAACAACACTGCAACAGCAGAATGACCCAAGGCAATGCAAAGAGCAGGGCAGCCGTGGCTGCTGCAGCCCATGGATGCTCGACAACGGCACCAATCAGCTCGTAGAACCATAGCTCCAGCTGAGCATTCAGCGCACTCTCGGATTCACAACCTTTCAAGATCGTTGCACAGAAAATTCCAGCGATCAAGATAAGCAATACCCGCACTGCATTCCACAAACACGCTCCTTCAAGGATTGGGCTCAACACAAGGCTCAAGGCGTTTGCATATTCAAGCTCGTGGAGAACAACCGCGATGCGAAGCGCCTGGGTCATCACTTGAGACTGCGACACCTGACAAACGCGCTGCTGGAGCCGCCTGATCTGTTGCTTCACCGCAAGCCTCGACTCCATTTCAGAGTGTTCAGACAACCCAACGCGTTCGAAATCGCGACTGCAATCAACAACACCAAGCAGGTACAAGAGGCACATGATTCTTTCCCGACTGAGCGCCTTGGTTCCTAGGTCGCCCACATTTCGGGCGGTGTTCACCCCCGAAATTGACATGTAAAGATCCTTTGCCAAATCTTGCACCCATAGAAATTTCCCATCAAGGTGTCTCGTTCTCCCCACGCCCTGTCTGGTCACTAAGGACTTGGCACTAGTCGAATCTATAAATGTGCATCGTGTGATCGGATGTCCTACTGCGAACTCTATGGCATTGGAGACGTAAATCATGTCACACATCCCACTCACATAAGCATTAAACTCACTCTCACAAGATGACAAAGAAATCGACTTTTGCGTCCGACTCGTAGTAGATAAGACATGCCCGTTTAGGGCCAGCACGGATGCAGACACACTGCGCCTTGTCTGCCTGTCAGCACTCCAATCAGCATCTGTATACAGTTCAAGAACATCCTGAGACTTGTCACGTGCTGTAATCCCACATCCGACCTGCGCCACATTAAATGCCAAAGCATGTTGTGTCACCCCTTTCAAGTAACAGACAACATGTCTGAGCAAATGCATTCCGCTGCGAGTCGGTGCCGACATCTGCTGGGCGAGAACTCGGATGGCGTTTTGTGCCTCAGCAATGTCTGGGCCAAGATAAAGCAAGATACCTGTGGCACTGCGAAAGATGGATGATTGCTCATCGGAAAGTGGCTCCCGATCTGGATGCTCAGACGCAGGCATTGGTGTAGACTTGCATTTTCTGTTCTCAAGGCCCAAAAGCTTCACAAGCTTTTCAACATGACGCGGATGTGGCTTGATCACAAGCAGTTGCTCGTCACCTTCACCAACCAGCTCATACGTTCTCTTAAGAAAGGATATGCAATCCCCGGGCTCAGCTAGCCACTTGATGCTGCACTTGTATTTGCTGGATATGGCATCGGTGATCTGCTTCAGCCTCTCAGGCAAACCTGAACCATAGATATCATCCACATGGATGAGCAGGGCTGCACCTCGGTCGCGGGTTGCGACCAATGCGGGACATGGTGCAAAGCACTCTATGTCACAATGCTCCTTCAAGAACCCTGTGAATGCATCATGCCAATTGCTGGTCCCGTCCCTTTGCCCTGGCAACATCATGCAGAGCTTAAAGTACTGGACGACTCCGTCGACAGTTGTCTTGACAACGGTATCAATGGCTTGCTCCACAGTCAAGAATGCATCTGTAATGTCAAGTGACATGCTTACCCAAGATTTACTCCGCATGTGCAGCGAAGGTAAGATACGAACCAGAAGCTGATTCGAGGCTGGGCTGAACAGCTGCTCGCGCCCTGGCTCTAGCCAGGAGAATTCCCTCGCGACAAAGCGCGATCGTCTCATGTAGCAGTCATGAGAGGGATCATCTGGACTGGGCTTCACACGCCATGTGTTGACATGTTTTGTACTCAAAAGCCTGGCCTTCTGAATGAAGGGATCATCAGCACGAAGCGGTTCAATCACTCCAAGACTTTCAAGACGCTGCAACTCAAACTTTTCGGCAATTTCATCTATCGCCTCAAGCTCAGATGCACTCAAGTTGGGTTCTGCGGCATCAGACAATTTTGGCCTAAACAACTCCCTGGGCACCGGTTGCTCACCATTCACACGATCATCATCCTCTGTTTGAACAAAATCATACAGGGTCTCATCATAGTGCTCAAGGGCATCAATCTCAGGTTCATCAAGAAATGGATCACAGGATGCATCGTTGTGAGGTCCAGCTTGCACAGCATTGATGCGTGGCACTTTAT